GGCCCACAGGCACTGGCAATGGAGGGACTTCAAGGCACCTCTCCAAAGTCAAAGACAATTCCCTCCCGCTGTATGTCTTATCTTAAAAACTCTTGTGGATTTTGTATTCAACTCCATAAAATCAACTGCCTTGTTTTTAGTAAAACAGTGACATTCTACATGATTTACAACTCAGTTGCTTGGCTCTGTGTGTGTTCTCCCATGTGGATAGTTCAGCGTCACGCTAAGGCTCAGAGTAGGGTACCTGGGAGGTGGGCTGTGGGTCTGCAGGAGGGAGGGAGGCAGGCGAGGAGCAGCTTGCACAGGCCATTCATCAGAACACCCTGGAGCGTCACTACGGGAGGGAAAAAAACACCCAGAGGCTTCTGGGGGCCAGTCTCACAGCTGGAGTGGCCTCTCCTGTTGCCACTGGGCTACCCTCACCATCTCTAGGTCAGTGTGTGGTCTCTGGCTCCGGTGGAACGAGGCTGCGCTATCAGGGGAGAGGCTGGCAGGAGCACAGCCATAGTGGGGGGGGGCAGCCTGGAGGGCAGGCAGCTCGGAGGTAGGGGCTGAGCTGGGGACCACCCCAGCTATACATCTTCCGTCCATTAGCATAGAGGGTTTGGTCAGTGTAGAAGATCAAGCGGGGAGGCCAAATCTTGCCTTTCCTTCTCTCCAGTTCCTTAGTAGAGAGTAGCTCTCCCTACTCTTGATGTTTCCAGATGTTTAACCCCCTGGAGGCTGGCTTAACGCTCCCAGCGCCCCCAGCGCTGGTGAGTGTCCACCCTGCCCTGGGGCTTCCTATACAGGAAGCCGGCACCTAGCAGCTGAAGTCCGTTCCAGCCTCTGTTCCCCACTCTGCTAGAGATGACAAGGTCCCTTTCCTGCCCCTGAGGGTCAGCAGGAGGCCTGCCCAGGTGGCCAGCTGGCAAGCTGCTACATCCAAGCCTCACTCGGATCCTGTTGCCCAGCCAGAGGCGCTGCTGCCTGAGAAGCTACTGAAAATAGTCTAAGTCTACGCAGCTTAGTGGGGATCCAAGAATGGGCTGGTGGGGGTGGGGCCGGGAGACCCTGGGGCTTCTCTAGCTGGCCTTGGGAAGAATTAGATAGCGGCAAGAAAAAGAACTGTGTGCCCAGAAGTTCCACTCATCTTCTATTCCAGGGACAGGAGTCACTTAAAGGTGTCCCAGTGCCCTTGGTGAGATGGGAGCCCCACTCCCTCCACTCCGGGAGCTCGGAGCTGGAGCTGCAGTGTCAAATGGCCTGGGTGTATTCTCTTTGCAAATAGGCACAGGGAGACCATCTACACAGCCAGCACATCCTCTCCCTGAGCAGCACAGCCTGGGCTGTGTGTGTCTGCAGGACCTAGAGCAGGCAGAAGAGACATTTCCCAGAGTCCCTCCACGAACGTCTCCAGGGTAAACTCGGTCTGACTGCCTGTAGCCTGGAAGAGGTCCCACTGCCTTCCCTAATGCACAGCTGGCCTGCCCCAGACGCTCTGCAGTCAGGCCCTGGGAAATCTGTGCTAAATTTGCACCTTTGGGTTAAGAAATGGTGAAAATGGTAATTCTCCGAGTAGCCTGGCCAAAGCCAGCCCCGGCTCCATCCACCCCCTCAGCCCTTGCTGCGCCCTCTCCCTGAGATCCTCCTTTTCATCCCTCCTGGCTTAGCTGAAGCCTGCTCAGGCTTGATGTCTTAGGTCGGGGAAGCCTTCCTGCCCACCGGGCTGGACTGAGCTCCTCTGATGTACCTGGTGGGCACTCAGTCACTCCCGCGCACATTCACAGGACAAAGACGCATTGTGGCCTGCAACCTGCCAGCCCGCGCTAGGCAGCGGGGCTCCAGGCGGACAGGGCTGGGGGTGGGTGGGTGAGGGAGAAGCCACCTAGCTCCGGCGGAGGAGCTGCAGCTCTCAGGACCGGGAGGGCCGCGCTTCCCAAGGTCCGCCCCAGCTCTCTAAGTGCTGGAGGCAGCGCCCCCTTCCCCCCACACCCATCTCCTCTTTCGGTCTCCGCCTGGATGGCTGCGCTCTCGGGTGCGATTTGGGGGCCGAGGTCCAAGCGCTTCGCCGGAGAAGCTCGCCCTGCACCCGGCCCGTTGGCTCAGACAAAGGCTGCGCCGGGAACAAAGGCTGCACCACCGCGGCCGCGCGGGTTTGCGGCGCTCCACGCTCGTGCTTCCACGCGGCCTTCCGTCTGGCAAACATCCACTTTAAAAAATCAAATGAAGGCAGAATCTCTTCCCCAAACAGTCCTCCCCCTCCGGGAGGGGGGAGGGGCGAACGGCGCCCCCACGGTCGGGAGCACGGCGGCGGGGGCGCAGGCAGGGCCGGCGGCTGGGCTGCGAGTGCGCGGCGCTCCCCGCGGCTCTCCGCTCGCGCAGGGCTGGGGAGAGGCGCGGCCCGCCGGGTGCGCGGTGCCCTGCCGCAGTCGGGGCCGGCGCGAGGCGCCCCTGCATTGCAGAGCGCGGGGTGCGGAGGGGGGTGCGGAGGGGGGCGCGGGCGGGCGTGCCTGCGTGCGCGCGTGTGCGTGCGCGCGTGTGTGCATGAGCGCCGCCGGGCCGCCGCGCCCCAGTTTGCTCGGCGCTGCAGTCCCTCGCCCCCTCCCCTTTGCACCCCCTCTCCTCCCCCTCACCGCCGCAGCACGCGCGTCCCCACCTCCCAGCAGCTCCCAGGGCGAGTCTGCCCAGTAACTGTGGGGGCGGGAGGGGAGAGAGGAGCTGGAAGGAAGGCTGCCGCCGGCCTGCTCCCTGCAGCGCCCTCCCCCACGCGAAGTTCACTGCCAAGCCACAGGGCTGGCCAGAGGCCCGTGGACCCCTACCCTCGGGGCTGTCCCAGCTGTCCCTTTGGCATGAGGCAGATTCTGCCCTGGCGCTGCGGCTGCAGTTCGGGCTCCCCGCTCCCCCCACGGTTATTATTTATCAGGCGGGTGAAATCCTGGGAAACTTTTCCTGCCGTGAATAAGGCACTTGTATTCGTTTAGGGGAAGGGAGGGTCTCACGGATCCTCTGCTCTGGCCACGTTCCCCTCCCATCACTTGAAAGGATACCTGTCCAAGACCAGCCGGAGAGGGATTCATGAGGTCTCTTGGGGCCCTGGTCTGTTCCCTGTCCGGGGTGGGCCTCTCCTGTCTTTTCCCGAACCTGCCATCTCTCCTGTGTATTTTGTCTGGGGCTGGAGGACGCTTATTTCAACTGGAGGCTCTTGGAGGTCTGAGCTCCTAGCCCTCTGGGGAAGGGTCTGGTGGGGATCAGGCATCCGGCTCGGTATAGGCTCATTGCTTCAGGGACCTGGTATGGTCCAGGACTGAGACGTGTGTTTGTAGTGAAGCAGAGGTGTTTTCCTTTCCCCATGGTCTCTGTCCCAGCATCCACCCCTGCTAGTAACCTCAGGGTGCAGCTTGCTCCCTGGGCTTCCACGAGGGGCTGGCTGGTGTCTCCTGTGCTCCAAGGTACTGTCTGGCTGAGGCTTGGCTCTCGGAAGGGCTCCATCTCCCAGGCAGGTCCTTCATGGGTCCTCACCCCTGGGGAGGTAACCTGGTCACTCAGGGAGAGCCGGGATTCTGCAGAGTACCCTGTCCCATTTCCCGTTTGTTCTGCAAAACCCAAACCGGATTTCCTGAGCAGGAGCCCCAGTCGCCCCACCCTTCTCTGTTGCAGTCGTGCAGCCCATCATCCCAGCTCCAGCGGCTCCAGGCTTGCCCAGGGTGGCTGCCAAGGCCAGCTCGGGGCTCCCACGCTGCTACTGCCAGGGTGCTGATGTCTGCTGACCCAGAGCCACCTCTGGGAACAGCCTGGAGGCTTTCGGTGGCCAGGGTGGCCGCCAGGAACCCTGTCGCTGCTGGAGCTGGGCAGGGATGAGGCTGAGGTTTGCACAGGGGGCGGCTCAGGAAAGCTGCCCAGGGCATGTGCCCACTCCCAGAAAATCCTCCAGCCACCAGCAGCCAGGGGGATGTCTGGGAGTCGACAAGGCCAAGGGCTGCTGTGTGCAGAGGGGAGAGGTGCTTAAGGAAGTGATCCCTACAGAGGGCCCCGGGGCAGCTGGGGCAAGGCCCACACCTCAGGCTGATGAGGTCTCTGGCAAGTACCCCACAGACTGGTGCTCCTCTGGGCTGCCCTGAAACTGACGTGTGTGCAGCCATTGCTCCGCTCTGGCCCGGGGCCAGCGAGCAGACTACAGCTCTGCTCTCCAGGGCTTCTACTAGGCATGCTCAGAGCTGGGCGGCCTCCCCCCGCCTGGCTTGGGCAGCTTTTCTCTGCAGAGCCTCCAGTGCCAACCTTCACTCATGTTCAAGGCCAGTGGCTCTCAGAGAGCCATCCTGGGACAGCAGGTCCTGTCTCTTCCATCTGAGCCTATTGGGGCTCCCTGGCCCTCCACCGTCAGCCATGATGATGATCCCGGACTTGGTTCAGATGCTCTATGGGGCAAAGGCTAAGGTAGAAACAGCCTGGAAGCCGGGGGTGACAGGTGTTGGAGGGCTTCTGCGAGGTTTGGTCTGTTACCCCCAGGAGGCAAAAGCACTTAATACAACCCCCCTCTCCCACTCCCATCAAGGACTTGGAACATGTAAGGAGCCGAGCCTGAGCCACCTCTCCTGGACTGCCCACTCTGCTTTCATCACTCGGAGGCTCAGGACTTGCGGATGGCCTCCAGGGGCTCTCTCTTCGAGGACACCCTAGAAATGGGCTTGGGGGGGCAGGAGAATACATGCAGACCCAGCATCTCAGGCCCTGTCCAGAGAGGAACGTCTGAGCAACTTGGGGGTTTATCTGGCCACTCAGACCCCCTGGCAGGCCCAAGCTCATCTACTTCCTTCTGTGGCAGAGAGACCTAGATTAGGGAGAGCAGCCCAGGTGGTCCGTCTGTGCTCCTCTCCGTCCGACCCTGTCTCTGGGTCCCAGACTTTTGCCCCAAGTGGACGTTAGGGAACCTAAATGCTTCTTTCTTTTTCACACCCTGTACACAGAGTCCCCAAGGGTCCCTTTTCCTCAGCACCTGGCAACCCGAGCGCCGTTCTTACCGTCCAGTGACAGCCAGTCATGCTGGGAGGAAGGGAGTGTGGGCAGGGCCCGAGCTTTGTACTCAAACACCACTGAGTTGGAGATGATCTGGTTGTTGAAGGCAACTTGTAGGGTCACAAGACCAGTGTCATGGGCTGCAAGAAAAGGAAAGAGAGGTCAGGGTCGGGTCGGGGGTGGGCACCGTTCCGTCTGTTGTACCACACAGGAACCTGTTGTACCACACAGGAACCCCTTCCTCACCCCCCCCTTCCCTGGGTGACCCAGCTTCTGCCTGCTCCTTCCTCGAGGCCCAGATGTAGTGCTTCTCCTTCCAGGAAACTTCTCTGGATGCCAGACTCAGGCAGGCGCCCTGTGATCACTCCCAAACCCTGTATTGTAATCGCCTCCGCTCCCTGGTGAGGACAGGTACCGGAAGTCAGTGCGGATTTGCTGAATGAACGCGTGAATGAATGGGCCCCAACACTGCCCATGGCTGCCTGACTTCTCCTGCATCCCATCCCTCCTAGACGGCATCCAGAAACAGCATTTGCTGCGGAGTCTTGGTGCTTATTTCTGTTTCATCCTCTCCTGCAAGCTTGTCCTGCTGCACTCAGCATGGCCTCCCACGTATTTTCAGAAGTTCCCCTGCCTTCCCGACCAGGGCAAGAGCCTCAGCCGCCGTGCCTGTTACTCTGGGCTCACGGGGGCCGATCCAGGGGTGCTCGCAGGAAGCTTAGGGCTCCCTCCCATGCCAAGACGGTGGCCTTTGGGAAGGCAGGCCCCTGTGGGTCTCATTAACCCTTCTGTCCCCAACATAGGGCTCAATGAAGACTGCATGTCTTGAATAAACAGCTGGGACATTCTCGCTGTCGGCAAAAAGAGAGCCCGCCCCTGGTGGAAACCTGCTTTGGTTCTGGGGTAAAAGGGGCTGCACAGCTCCTGTTGAAATCTTGGGGGCAGTGGCCCACAGAGATGGCCCCGGGGGCCAGTATGGGCGTGCTGCCTGCTCACCCCACCAGGCCTCGTCCTCTGGTAGACGTCAGGGCTCTGTGCTCTCTGCCCTGCTTTTTTGGAACACCAGATACCAGTGCCCGGGGCCTCCCCAGGACAGATTTCCAGGGAGGACGCACACAGCGATCATGTTACTGCTTGGGCACTTGGTTTGCAGTTTACAGACTTGAGAAAGCCGTCCAGGTCAGCTGCTCCCCGGGGAGGCATAGAGCTCCGGCTTCCCTCTGAGGCAGACCTTGCTTCCTATGGGAAAGCCAGCTCATTGAGCTATGGCCTCTGTTCATGCTAGGTAGATGTGTGATGCCACTGTCCCCAGAGCAGTTCTTCAGGATGTCATTGCCCCAGGGGGACCAGTGGGTTTTCCCCTCCACTTTCTACCCCGGTGTGGTCTCTTAGCTCCAGACCAGAAGCTGAACTAGCTGGCTCCACGGTGGGTTGTGGGGAGGGGGTCCTGTAGGACGTACTGCAGTGCCTCTCTGGGCAGGGGTTTCCGGCCAAGTCCAGATCCTCCGGCAGCCCTGACAGCGTCCCCAGGCAGCAGGCAGACTTCCAGGTTCATGGTCACTCATCCTCCCTGGAGCTTTGCCTTGTTTACCAACAGGAGAAAACGCAGCCTGCACACACCCCAGCTGAGCCTGCTCAGCTCTGCATCTAGGTGGGGAGTTCCTCAACCCCCGCTCTTCTCCACACCTTCCGGCATCTCCTGGCACTTGTACTACCTGTGATGCTGGAATGTGGACGATCGAAAGCATCCCATCCTTCCACAGGGATACAGAACGGAGAGGAGAGGACCTATCGTCGTCTCTGGGTCCCAGACCAGCAGCTGGGTGCAGGCAGGCCATTGCACAGGGCGCGCCCTCAGCTTGCTCCCTCCCCTCATTCAGAGTGTCAGCGGGTGCTGGCCCCTCCACTTGTCTCCATCCCCCCTGCCACCGCTCTGAGCCAAGCTGCCGGCCTTTCTCACCTCGAGTCCTGCTGCGGGCAACCTCAGCCGTCCGGAGACCCACCTGTTCCTGCCAGAATGGTGTTGGGGGGTGGGGGGCTACGTCCCAAAGCCCCCACCTGAAACGGGTGGGCATGCATTGCCCAGGGATTGCCCCTCCCGAAGTCAGGAAAGATCACCCCTCTGCCCGCTTCCTACGGTTTCCGTGTTTCTTTTCTTCCTCCCAGCAATCTGTTCTCCCACGCACCCGGAATTATCTTTTAGAGACATAATTTAGATCGCATCACTTCCCTACTTAAAACTAATGGTTTCCCATTGCAGGTGAAACCAAATCAGACTCCTTCCCGTGACTCAGAAGGATGGACAGGGGTTGGTCCCCACCATCTTCTCTAGCCCTGCAGTGTTCGGCTCCCCCACAACCTGTTCCACTCTCCCTCCGACTTGCTTGGCGATTTGTCTCCTTGTTTCTTTCTGTCTCTTGCAGTAAAGTGTAAGCTTCGCGAGAGCTGGGCGCAGGTCTGTCTTAGTCGTCTCTTCGTGCCCAGGGCCAAGGTCAGTGACTGGCGCGGTACAGCCCCTCAACCGTTTGTTGAATGAATTGCTTCAAAACGCAGTGCATTTGCCCACCTCAAGTTGAATTCTACCCCTTGCCTTTGGGGACCTCCCAGGAATCCAGGGTAGGGCTGTCCTGCCAGCCAAGTCTTCTGGTTGATGGCTTCTCCTGTCTCCTCCTGAGCCCAGGGGCGCCTTTTCTGAAGTCCCAGGTCTTCTGTCATCACGCCCCTCACCCTGAGCTCAGTGCCCTGACTTGGTTGTCTCTCTCCTGAGCTTGGAGCACTACCGAGATCTTGTAGGGGGCAGACTCCATGCTCCATGGGTCTGTGGCCCATGGTGGTAGGAGACCGTGTTCCTGGTCAGGGTCTGGTCTCTTCATCACGGTGCCGGGCTAGTGAGTGGTGGCCATGTGTGCCCCCTGTGTCCCCTCCTCCCGTGTCATTCCCTGCTCCTAAGGTGTCTCGTCTTGTGCTCCCCGGCCTCTGGGCCCTTCTCTCTGGCAAGGCCAGTTTGGCTCTGGATTCAGGTGTTCCTTCCCCAAGATCAGCTCATTCTCCTGAGCCCTCAGAAGGCTCAGGGAGGGGCCCTTGCAGCCAGTCTACACCTGCCCCCTCCTGCCAAGGCAGTGGTTTGTTTGCCTGATTGATTCCGCCTTGGGCCGATTGCTCCTCGGGGTCAGAGTTGGGCTGAGGGGCTGGGTCTTCAGCCCTACTCCATCCTAGATGCCTAGCAGGGCCTGGTAAACGATCTGATGAATGAAGGAACACGCGCCTACACCCGGTACTGTCTTACAGAGTGACATGCTTTAGTTTGGCCCTAAAAGCAGAGCTGTCCCAAGGGGACTCCCTCTTTGTGGTTAGTTGCAGAACAAAAGGGTGTTCGAGCCATGGGGCCCCGGCCTTCTGTGTCCGTCTGAGCCTGTGGCTTCTCATCTCGGAGTCTAAGATGTGCTCTGTTAGAGGAGCTGAACCCCTGGGAGACATGCTGGCCTAGGCAGACTCTGTTGCCAGGGTCTGGGACCCAGGAAGCCTCTGGGACCAGCACAGCGGCCTGCCGAGAGACCCAACAGCGCTGAGCCCCTCTCTCTTTGACACAGAAAGACCTAAGGCCTCCCACACGGAGCGCCTTCCTGAACTGAGCCTGGGAACCCAACGCTACACGGACCTTCCTCCCCCTCTGCTCTCACCCATCTGACAGCTGGCTTTTCAGATGTCGAAATGGAGGCCCCGAGGGGTCAAGTACGGGCCTAGAGTCACCAGATGGTAAGTGGCTATCTGGGGTGTGCTGTGATGCGCCAGGTCCCGGCTTGGGATGTTGTCCAGAGGGCATACAAAGGCCAGTCTTTTTGTGGAAGGGTCAGGTAACCTAGGACAGGCAAGGTCTGGGACCTCCGCCAGGCAAGACCCAGGTACCGGAAGTAGCTTCTATTTATAGAGCAGGCGAGTCCTGCTCCCGCAGCAGGTGGTGAGATGACGGCGTGATAACAGGCTGCCCTCTCCCCCTGCCCCCTGGAACGGAGGCGGTGGGGAGTGGCGGTGGCACTGGCCACGCAGCCTGGAGCCGTGCTAGGCTGACCCACGCTGGCCTCCTGAGGGCTGTGCTCCAGGCCAAGCCGGGCTGCTGGGAGCAAAGGGGGCTAAGTGCGTCCTCTGGAGCTGGCCAGGCAGTGGTGGGGGCAGGGCCAGGATGGGAAGGCCACCCTGGGCATCATCCCTGCCTCTCTGCAATGTTTGTGGTGAGGGAGGTGCCAAGTTCACGTGGGAGCTAAACCTGGGAACCCAGTTCTAGAGCTTTCTGCCCTGGCAGGCTGCACAGGGAGAGGAGCAAAAATGAAGGAAGAACGTTCCATGTGAATCCAGGAGCCTCAGGCTGGAGGGGATGGTGTGGATGGAGGCAGAGAGCTGGGGTGGCCCAAGATTCCTGTCCCCACTTGTCTTTGCAAACCCTCAGCCTCTACAGGGAGCACTGGCTCCTTTTGTAGATGCCTGGCTTCAGATAACACGGGGTAGGGCTTACTCTCCGTTCATTCTCCAGGCGAGCTGGACAGGCCATCCCTGGAGCTACTGTCAGCCCAAGGACACATTGCTCACCATGGGCACTGGAACACCAGAACCCTGGAAACAGATTCCTTCACAAATACTGATCTCCTTGTGAGGTGCCCCGGCAGACACATGATGACCGGGAAAGACATGGATCCCGACTGCATGGGGCTGGCAGGCCAGAGGTCAAGGAGTTGAGCAGATGGGAATGTGTGTCTAGCTAAGCAGATGATGATGAGGGAGGGAGGTGAAGGTCAGAGCCACAGGGACAGCAGAGGGCTCTTACCCCTGAAACTGGAAGCAAATTACATGACGTGCCCTTTTTGGGGTGCGGGTGCATGGCTCCACATTCTCAAGAGAGTTCGCACCCATTATTCTCAGTTTGACCCTCCTTCCCACTGCCACCAGGTCTCCATCCCTCTCTGCACTGCTCAGTGCTCTGTGAGCCTCAACTGATGATGTTATACTCGTTGTTCGGGGACCCCTCCGTCCCTTCGGGGGACCCTGAGCCTCAAAGTACTGACGTGACTTGTCCCAGGTGGTGCCCAGGCTTAGCCTTGGTGCAGCACTCCTGGGGGCCCCCCCGAAGCCGTGGTGGGTAGCTGGACCCCTCACCTGGGCAGTAGCAGCGCAGAACCCCGGGCTGAATCAAGGACGCAGGCACTGAGATCTGGTCGAACAGGCAGCTGTAATTATTGCTGGCTTCTTGCCACGGGCCTGTGATGAGAACCTTCACTCCTCCCTGGAGGGGACAGAGAGGAACGTCAGCCACAGCGGGAGGGGGCGATGGGAACTCGGGCCTTGCAGGCTGCCCCCGCCCCCCGTGCTGGGTGAACGTCCACACTCCTGGACCCCAGAAAGCCCCGGGTTTCCAGAACCGCTCTCCCAGGATGGCGGCAGGAAGACCAAGCCTCTGGGCGGGACACCACACGTTCCTTGCCTTCCTCAGCTAGCATCCCGCACCGCAACCAGCGGGTTTGGTCCCTGACCCTCTCTATGCAACTTTCAGTTCTAGGCAGAAGGCAGCACGGGGTTGTTCAAACCTTTTCAGTTTGTTACGGGCCAGGCAGGAGCCCTGGAGGGAAGGGGTGGGGATGGAGGGAGCTTCTTCTGTCATTTACTTGCGCGCAGGTTTTGGGAACTCCGAGATTTGAAAGCAGGCCTGAGCATGTTAGTGTCACCCCAGGAACAGGGAGTTCTGGTGGGGATAGGGAGAGCTGCAGGACCCCCAGGGTAGAGCAGCAATCGTGGGAGAGGGGGGCGCAGACGAGAACGGCTGCAGAAACAAAAATGGGGAGGAGGGCTCAGACTTGGAGGGGGTTGAGCGGGACAGGGGCTTAGAGCTGGGGCCTGGGGATGCTGGCCCCTTTGGCTCTCCTTGGGTGGCCCACGCCAGGCCCCAGCCACCTTTCCCAGTAGGGGGCCCGAGACTCTCAGGACAGGGTGGAGAGCGCCACCTAGTGTCCAGGCTGCAGAAAACTGAGCGGCATACCTGCTTGAGACTGGGGGTGGGGAGCAGGGGGTGAGGGGTTCAGGCCCCCTTTCCCCCACCTCTCCAGGACAGAGAAGCCAGACCTCAGCTGTCCCACTCCTGGCCCCCTCCAGAGACTCTCTCCTGCCCAGTCACCAGTTCTTGCGTGGACCCTCCTTGGCACTGGCCCACCCCTACCATGGAGGGACCCCCAGCCTCAACACAAGGCTAACCCCCGGGCTGCCCACAATGCTCCTGGAACCCAGACCTGGACCAGAGCTGGCCTTGGGCATCAAGAGCAGGAGGGGGTGTTTCCAGGGATGAGGGGAGGGGGGCTTTCCCACAGCCCAGCGCAGGAGGGACCTTTCCCGACTGACAGGCGTTCCACCTGGGCTCTTGGATGGGATGGGATGGTTTTGGAGAAGCCACCTCACTGCTAGGGGGACAGCAGAGATAGCTCAGGCCCAGAGGCCGAAAGCGAGAGGCCTGCTTCTGTCCCTCGGTAGCTGTGTGTCCTCAGCCAAGTGGCCCAACCTCTCTGGTGGCCCTTCCGGCCTTAACATTCCTTGGGGCTGATACGTGGTTCCTTCGGGAGATCTGAGCTGTGGCAGGACTGGGGCCCACGGGCTGGTGGCTGGGCACCGGCTCAGAGGCGTGCGCCAGGGGCACAGGTGGAATCACAGGCCAGCTCAGGGCACGACCCTCCCTGGATCCTGGGAAGGGGAAGAGCAGCGGCTTCAAAAAGCCACAGAAGGTTACCGTGTGAGAAGGAAGGAAACAAAGAACAACCCGGACAGGGAGCCGCTGGTGTGAAGCTGGGGCGGCCTGAGGAACAAAGAACTGGAGAACAGCAGGGCCCTCTCCATGGAAACCGCTGCAGGATGCGCTCAGCACCCGGAGGTTTGGGGGACCGTTCCCATGGCAACGAGGGCCTGGCTGCTGTCAATCCAGCGGTGACGCAGGCCCCTGATGGCTCTAACTGCAGCTTCCCCCGCCTGCTGCCGCCAACTGTCCGTGGAGGCAGATGACGCAGAGGATTTGGGGGAGGGAAGGGGGCGGCAGACGCCATCTGAGGTCTGTGCCCTGGGAGTCCTGAGGTAAAGGACCCAGATTTCTGAGGCGCCCAGGGCAGATCCAGGGGCACGGGCATGCGTGTGTGCACGTGTTGGGGACCTGCTGCAGCTGCGGTGAAGAGGGGGAGAGAGCATCCGGGAGGTGGGAGGGAAGACACTCCCCGAAGAGACAGCAAGGTGACCCGGCCTTCCCTTTCCCGCGGAGGGGATTTTAGGGCCCGGATTGCTTAGCTCAAGAAGCGTCCCCGGGCCTGGATGACTTGCTACGGGTGTTGCTGTGTATCGTGCTCGGCAGAGCGTGGCTAGAACTGAGCTCTTGGCACCATTGGCAAGGAGGGCAAGAGGCAAACATGCCAGCCAGGGGGCTGTGAGGGGGCGAGAAGTGTCTCTGGATGGGGAACCCAGGAGGGGATGGCCCTTGCTGCTGGACGGGTCCCAGTGGCCGGGGGCCGGGGAGGAGGAAGTGGCTGGTCAGAACCCATGGGGCCTCTGCAGAGGCCTCACCGTGTGGCCATCGGGCTCCAAAGGGACCAGCTGGGTGGCATCTGTGCATTTCCCAAATCAACTTGAATTTGAGTTGCTTTTGTTTCCTGGAAGCATCAAGGGCTTCTGGAAAACCAGGGCTGGATGCTCCCTCTCGGAGGAGCCCAGACCCACATTCTTTCCCGCTCCCGTGCTGCCCTCACGTGGCAGGCTGCTGAACTGACTTTCCCTGAGGTACAGTTTGGGGACCTGCCGGTACTGGGGTACAGAACAGGGGACCAGGTCGGCTAATAGCCCCTCGCCAGTGCCCCCAACCCCATGAAGGCCAGATGGCGGGCCTGGACCCCTGCAGGGGGGCCAGTGTGCACAGCCCAAGGCTGGGGAAAGACGGCTCCTCTCCTGGGCCTCCAGTTCCCACAGGTCTCAGGCTCTGGGGTGCCTCCAAGGGTCCTGAGAACCAAACCTCCCAGGCCTAGGCCATGCCTCTCAGCCATCTGCAGGAAACTGAGGCCCAGGGAGCCATGTCTCCCAGCTGACCTCTCACTAGGCCCCCTCCCTATTCCTTTGAGTTGCTTTCTTAACCCTGGGTGGGGAGCAGGCGGCTGGGCTGACCTGTCACTTGGGGTGGAGGGTGACACACGGTGGGTGCTATGGGGATGCCACTGAGTTCAGGATGGCTTACACGGCCAACCCGAGCCACACCATGGGTAGGCATGGTCAGAATCTTCCAGAGTCTTAGGGAAGGAGCCATGGAGATGGATGGAAGGGGTGGCTGCTGCCCAAGTACTTAACAACCAGCCAGCGAGATGAGACACAAGAAAGGCAGCTAGTGACCTTGCCCCGGGTCACCAGATAGTAAGGGTGGGTGCACTCTGTCTGGCCCCAGCCCCATGCTCCTCAGCACGCAGGGTGACGTCCTCTGGACACCCACTAAACACACTGCACAGGGACAGGGTGCGGGGCAGGAGCTGCTCTGTCCAGACCCCCACCGTCTTTCCAGGACCCCCTGGAACGGAGCCTGGGCTGCTGGCTGAGCTGATGTGCCACCTTCCTGAGAGCTGGGGACATTGGTGCCGGATTTTATTTGTGCTTTGCCATAAAAGAAAGAGCAGAGGGAGTAATGAGCCTTCCGGTCAGAGCTGTAACCGTGAGGCCCACCGTCCAGGTGACTTCCCCAAGGTTGTTAGCGGTCAACCTGTGAGAAGGAGGGACAGGAAACTGCTCAGTGGGCCTCAGTGGCCCAGCCATGGCAGCGGGGCAGGGAAAGGACGCCAGTGGGCCTCAAGCTGTGGCAACCATGGGACAATAAACAATATTCACTGATTCCTTATTACAGACAAATATTTTACCAAACATTCCTGGTACTACACCTTGCCCTGAGGAGGGCACTCTTGCCACTTTTTAAGCAAGGAAACTGAGTCACAGAGAGGTGAAGTCACGGTAGCGCCCGACTGATGCCCCGGAGTCGGGGAACATGTGCCCCAGGAAAGCTCAGGCCACTCTGTCCCCCTCCTATGGCTTCTACCTCAGAGTAAAAGGCAAGGTTTCGTCTTTCTGCTCCCCGCCATGGGGGCAAGACCTGCGTTTTCTGGGGCCCTGGGCTGAGGAGCAACCGAAGGTGGGGGCGAGGAGGCCACAGGTGGGACATCCCGGGTCACGGAGCGCGCCTTTGATTTTACAGAGGCCGGTTTACTCGCAAAACTTTCATGGATGGCTCTCCAGACGCTGTGCCCTTCCTCGCACGGTGGATGGGAATTCGCTTATGTTCTGATGCACTGAGTAAAGCAAATCAAGAATAATGGATATGGATGGCCTGTGGTGGTGATTTCTGAATTTGTTTTGTTTAGTTTTAGCAGCCCTAGGACATTTAAAAAAATAATAATAAAAATAGATAGAAAGCCGAGCAAAACCCAGGTGGGATGTTAATACATGAGAAGCCAGGCTCTGGTGGGAGTGGGGAGGGCCACCGGCCCCCTGGAGACCCAGGACTTTCCAGCTTCTGTGAAGTCTGGGAACCACGGCCGGAGAAAGGCGGCAGGGACAGAGGAAAGGGACAACTCTGTCTGCAGGGTCCAGAGCTTCCTCCAAAGGGCAGCCCCATGCACACCAGCCTCCCTGCGCCGTGCGCTGGCGGGCTGCAGCAGCTTACCTCCGGGTATGACCACTCCGGGGAGTAGTCGGTCACCATGAACACCCGTGCGCTCGGCTGCAGCATCCCCAGCGCGCCCTGCGCGGGGCTGGCGGACACCACCTCAGCCACGTGCATGTAGGCCATGGTGCCGGCCCCGCCCTCGGCCCCGCTCAGCTGCAGGCTCCCCTGCTGGGGGCTGCAGCAGGGGATGCACATCTCCGCCTGGGCGAAGGGCGCGCGGGCCCCGTCTTCCGACTGGGAGAGCGCCGCGCCGTCCCCCGCCACCAGCTGGTGCCCATAGATGGTGCCGCTGCCCCCCTCCACGGAGATGAAGTCATTGATCAGGTCAGAGAACTGGTTGCTGAAGGAGATGTCAAAGTGGTCCAGGCTGAGCTCCATGTTGGAGGCGTTGCCCAGGCCAGGCTGGGCCACAGGGTAGAGGCCCTGCACCACGTTGCCCGGGAGGACGGGGACCCCACCGGCGCCGCGGATCACCCCCGTGGTCTCGGGCTGCAGGTAGTGCTCGGAGCTACAGGCCTGCAGCTCTCCAGACTTGATCAGGCCCTCGCCCCCTTCGGCAACCTGCGAGGTCTCCATGGTGACCTCCCCTTCCGCAGCCATGGCCTGGAAGTTGGCCTGGAACTGCATGAGGTGGAGGGAGGAGGCGGACTCTATCCTCGTCTCCACGTGGCCGCTGCAGGAGCTGGTTTGCGACGAGGCCTCCGTTTTCACCGTGGGCATCACGAAGGTGCCCCCGGAGTCGCTCAGGCTGCTGTGGGCGTTCTGCTCGAGGGGGAGGGGCTTGCTGGCGTCCTGCAGGAAGAAGCTCGGGGACGGGGTCTGGTGGACGTGGGGGCTGTGGCCCGTCTGGCTGAAGCTGGACGTGTAGTCCTTGTTGGAGTCTATCGCGCTGAAGTCCATCTGCTCTAGCGTGGTGCTGGGACTCAGGCCACCGCCCGACGGCAGGAGGCTGGAGCCGGCGGTCAGGGTGAGGGAGCTGGACGCCGCGGCCGCCGCCGAGGACGAGTACGCTTCTTTGGCCATCTGCTGCTCGAAGGAGGTGTCCTCGGTCTTAATCTCCTTGGTGAGGACGGTGGTGAAGCTGAAGGCCCTGTCCACTGGCGGTGAGTGCCGCACGTTGGTGCTGACCAACTCCGCCTTCAGGCCTCCGCCCCCGTACGTCTGGCCCTGCTTTGGGTTATTGAGGAAACAGTCGGGGTCAAAGTTCATGGTGGTCTCTGGAATCTTCCGGCCGCCATCGAGGGTGGTGGAGAGGACCAGCTCTTCGGACACGTTGGTGGGCAGCATCGACAGGCTCTCCGAGCTGCCCGCGGTGGGGAAGGCGAACTTGTGGCCGTCGGAACTCACGGCCAGGACAAGGCCCTGAGAGGCGTCGGGCGAGAGGAGGTGGTGGTTGGGGCCGGTGGTGGGGGACATGGTGTACACGGCCTCGTTGGTGACCTCAGACATAAACACCGTGGCGCTCTGGGACAAGCTGCCCATCACGGAGGCCACGGCCATGCTGGACACGCCGGTGACCACGGGGCTGTCCGCCATGTCCGGGTCGCTGTTGAGCCCGCTGCTGATGGACACGGGGGAGCTCTGCGTCGTGTCGGGCACCTCCACCTGGTTGGTGGAGGAGACCTCCGTGCTGTTCTGGTGCAGGAGCACGGGCTTGGCCACCTTGCCGTTCCTCTTCTCACGGCTCGGGCCCTTGCCGTGGCTGTGCTCGTGCTTGCCCTCGGACACGTCGTTGTGCTGCACCTCCGCGTGACTCCCGTACCCCCCTGTCCGCGGCTCGACCTTCGGCGAGATGATACGGTGTTTGGCACTGTTGCACTTGTGGTGCCCGCTGCTGCCCGCGCCTGTGGAGATCAGAGGCACACCACGCACACGTGCGCGTGCACACGCACACACACATACACACACGCACATGCGAAGAGAGCGTCAGAGCCGCGGCCATGATGAACCCCGTCTCTGGGCAGCTGGGGCCTGGCGGGGCCTAGCCTGGGAGCCCGGGCAGCCCGCTGACCCCTGGGGCAGGCACATACCCCACGCTTGGGATCTCGGGCTCACCAACCCCAATCCCTGGGCCTCTCACATGCTCCACGGAACCATCCTCCAGACCAGGGTGGGGGGACTCTTTCCTTGGGGTGCCTTTACTACTACTAACAATACTAATAGCAGTGCCTCAGGAGATGGGCCATTGGGAAGGAGAAGGTGGAGAGTCTGCTGTCCTCCAGGAAAATCTTTCCACCTTCAGAGACAGACACCATATCCGGAAACAGCTCTTGCTGGCCAGGGAGGGTAAGGGGAGCTCAGCCCAGAGTGGTGGCCGTGTCTCTCTCCCCTCCCCCAACTTTCCATGCCAGTTCAGGCTGCACAGAGTATTTTGGGGGGCAGGGTTTGGAGGGCAATGTTCTCTCTCTGGGTTAGTTCTCAGGCACCAGGACCAGATTGGGTTCTAGGCTTTGCTCCAGAGGCAGAAATGTATCTGCCCCTCTCCTCCATTTGGCCAGCCCGGGCCTGTCCTCAACTCTTTGTGGCTCAAAATCCCTACAAGACCCAAGCAAAGACAGAGCCCTAAAACCCCAGCCCAGTGGCAGAGAGGGAGAAAGCCCTAGGCCAAGGGCTTCTGAACTCTGTCTAGTCTCCGCAGGGCTTTCTGCACACGAGGCCAGGTGGGCTCTTCTCTTTTCTCTCCCCTCTGCCATTGTTTTCATTCCATATGAGGAGGGTCACTCAACTTCTGATAAAAGGGTGATTCCCCTCCTCCCCGAGCCTATTATGGCCTCGCCCCCATAATTCCTAAATGCATGAAGCCTTTGCGGAGAAGTGACATGACCGTCTAATGGAAATGTGTAATTAAGGCAGACAAGTGGGTGGAGAATGCGTATTTCTAAAAGCAAATACCGTTATCAGAAAAACAGACACATGAGGACAGGGAGGGTGGGATACTCTATTCTTGGAGGAGACCGAGGGTAAAGAAAGATTAACCTGAGTGGGCCCACTGACTCCGGGCTGACCTCCCTGAAATGCTCATGTCAGCCCTGTGCCTGGGCACCCGGGCTTCCTGTGGACGATACCCAAGATGGGACCTGGAGAGTCCTTGCCGTGTGTAGACGAGGCCTGGAGCCCCAGCCCTGGGCTCTCCCCATCTCCGCTGCCCCCATCCCTAGAGGGAGCTGTCTCTCTGGAAACGGCTTCTCCTGCCCCAAGTGGGCTTCCCCATCAGCACCACGGGCCAGGATGAGGGTGAGTCTGTCCCAGGTGCTGTCCCGCCCTGTCCCCTGGCTCCTGGCCAACCCCACTGGGCTCACTCTACAGCAAGGCTACCTGTGGAGGAGAGCCACACCGGCTGTCTGGCAGAGCCCCCTCCCGCCCGCAGGGGGCGCTGCCCACCCAAGCTGCCCGCTTGCTCCCTCCCGCCCGCAGGGGGCGCTGCTCACCCAAGCTGCCCGTGCAGAGGCAGTTGTGGGTCCGAGGCTGTGGCTTGGTCTGGTGGCTGTCGAGGATCTGCTGCACCAGCTGCTCCACGGAGAAGCCTGAGCTGCTGTTTCCATTGCTGCAGGTCCACTTGATGCCGTGGACTATGGGGAGAGAGAGGCAGAGGGGCGGTCAGAGGTCACCTGGTGCAGGGGCAGGGCCCGGGGGTGGGGGGCCTGGGACCTGGGTCCTCTCAGAATGCGGCTCCCCCTCTGCTGGGAGGCTGGCTCTAGGGGGGGCCGATGCACATGGCGGGGGAAGGAGGTCAGAGGATGGAGCGGGGCAGGCTGCCCCCTCGGGCCTGCACTCCCGGGAGCTCCGTGCTCTTCCACTGCCGCCTCCTCCCTTCCCTGCAGTGCAGTCTGGGGAGAGGACGGCCTAGAGATTTGCTTCTGTTTTCCTGGAGTCCAAGTGCATGAGAGCGGCTCTTCCAGGGGCCCTGGAGTGGAGGAGAGGGGAGCTGGGACAGGAAGGAGAGGCGGCAGGCCTCTGAGGCCGCCCACCCTCCCAGACTGTAGGTAGTGGAGATTTGGAGAGGAGACGGAGGCTGTGTGCCCGGGGTGGAGGCCCAGCCCTGCAGGGGAGCTTCTGTTTCTCGTTCTCACCTGACTTCTCTGCCTAGGGGGGCTGCAGGCTAGGCCGGGGGTGTGGGGAAGGGAATGAGTGGCCCACATGACCCGAACAGTCGATGCCCACTGATGACCGGCCCCCTGCATGGCCGACCCCGGGACCTCCGCTGTCCTTGCTGATGGGGCAGATCCACAGATCGGCTGAGGGTGGGCTCCCCAGCTGCCTGCAGGACCGCGGCTGAAAGTCTAGAATAAACTGACTTGCCCACGGGGTCTGGGGGCTGATGGGTGTCTCGCCCACTCGTTCATGGTCCTCCGCTGGAGCTGCCCCGTGGCTCGCCAGGAACGCGGCCCAGCCCAGCTCTCTCTGGGGGCACTAGGGGGCCCGTTCCAGGGACAGGGAGGGCCTAGCCCTGGGGCTGGGGGCCAGTGCCCAGGGCTCTAGGAGGGACCCAGCTTGCTGTGAAACAGGGACGGTGGGACCAGGTGGTCTGGGAAGAGAAGCAGGGCGGGGGCACGCTGGGGAGAGGCCAGTGGCTTTGCCAACGCAAGGACAATTTCCTTTGTCCTCTAGAGGAGCTTCTCTCACACGGCCTCCAGAGAAAGACCGTCACCGTGCCCCATGCCTGCCCTCCCTCTGTGAGGCTCCGGGGGGCAGCTGCCCAGGGAGACCGTCCACACGGCCGGGAGGAGCTGGGTCAGATTCACATCCGGACGGGAGGCCAGGTTTTGGTGTGAATTTGGGCAAGTCACTAAAGTCGCCTGTGAAACGGGAACAGAACAGCCTCTGCCTCACAGGGCAGCCAGCAGGAGAGGCTGACCTCCTGCCTTGACCTTCCTGTGTTCGCCCCAAAGAACAGCTGCTGTCCTGACGGTCCCTGGGGTGACAGCGTGAGCAGGCGCAATGCCGGCCTTACCCAGGGCCTGCCCGATGCTGGCGGGGCTGGGCGTGGGGAAGGAAGCTGCTTGCTGGGATAGCCCCCGGTGGTTCTGCCTTGGAACCCCGCGGAGAGCGCTCCTCGGCCATCACTCCTGGTCACCTCCTTTATATAGGACTTCAGTGCTTTTTCAGAGAAACCTCCTCTTGCGTGGGTGTGATGCGCTGGGAGTCCTGGCGGGCGCTGCTTCCTTCCTTCTTCCTTCGGGCACATTGGCCCCAGGTGTTGGCCCCTTCCTGATGAGGCCGGTGGCCCTGGTCCCAGAGTGTCCTGGCATCTGGGGCATCATCACAAGGGGATGGGGCGTGGCTGCTGAGTGGCTCCTGTCCCCGAGCTGGCTGAGCTACCTGGCTGGGAAGTCGTGTCTGCCTCTTCAGATCGCTGTACGAGGGGCCTGGGCAGAAGGTGGCTGGGCAGTTTGCAGACCACCTTCTCCCACCTTGGGATCCCTCAGGGAGCGCTCTGGCGGCCCGAGAGGACATCAGCATTCCTGCTGGCTCAGGCCCCACCTTGTCCTCGGCCACTGAAAGGCAAGGCCCAGGCCAGGCTCTGCAAATCTCACTACCACTGCGGAGCCCTTTTCTCAAGTGAACCTCCACCTGGAAACCCCATATGGAAGATGGATAAGAGCAGAAGGGGTCTGGTCAAGGCAGGAGTGAAGGCCAGGGTTGGCTTGGCTGACCTCTCCTGGACTCCTCGTTTTGTAGAGGAGGAAGCAGAGCCTGGGGGGAAGGGGCAGGGCTTGCAGACCCCTCCCCTTGCACCTCGCAGCTGCACCTGCCATTGGTGTGTCCCAGCCCCTGCTCTGGGGTGGTGCCAGGCTTTTTTTTTTTTTTTTTTTTAAAGCTTCCCAGGAGTTCCTCTTGGGCAGCCCAGATGGTGAACATGCAGTTCTGTCCTAAGCCTGAATTCTGCAGGTCACTGCCAGTCTGGGAGCCCACCACTGCCGCTCCTTCCTACAGGGGACTCTGAGCAGATGCCACTTACAAAGACAGACCAAGGCGTTCTCAGGAAAATCCCCTCCTGGCTTTGAGCTTGGCTCTGGAGAGATGAGCAGTGGGCCTCCCCACAGGGCAGCCCACCTCCGGCTTCTGGCCCCAGGGCCACCCCTTGCCCGGAGGTCTGAGTCTTGGGGGTGGGTGGGCTGTTGAATCCCTCTGGAGTCCTCTGGCCTTCGGGACCAGAGCCCCTCCCTCCACTGCTGCCCTCTCCAGTCTTCCTCCCCGGCCCTGCTGAGAGGAGCCGGGGCTCACTCACTGCCTTCCTTCTGCCTCTTGCTTTCCTCTTTTCTGTTGTGAAGGTTATAAAATGAAAACCCAGTGAAGGGTGACAGATTGCAAGCAGAGAATTTCTGGATGCTTAATGCAAATTACCTACTGTCTTGGCACATTCGATATGCAGATCATGTCCCTCCCCCTCCGGTGGGGGCGGGGAGAGAAGCCCCCTCCTCCTCTGAGCTGGGGAGTTGTCGGTTCTGAATATCAAATACTATCAAGACGGCTTTTAACATGTCATGCTCTGCTTCCTGACATGTAATGAATCAGCGGGAAAGGAGATTTCTATGGGAAAAGAGTGTTTTATGCAGGGAAGGTTAGTAAACACGTGGCACTGGCCGGCTGTCCCCTGTCCGCCCCTAACCCCAACCTTCGCAAAATCAGTGAAAGGGAAACTGCATTAAAAATACACTTGGTTAAATGTAAGGTCATGACCCGGGGGGGGGCGGTTGTGGGGTGGGGTGAGTGTGAGGGAAGCACAGAAAGAGAAAAGGGAATTCCTGGAAAAATAGCCTGCTGGTGGCTCTGGGTCACGTTTGTCCCCTCTCTTTGCTAGGTCTTGGTGGGAGGCACTGGGCTCCTAATTCCCAGGCCATAGTCGGCCTCCTCAAATGGGAGGAGCCAGCTTTGGCAAATCCCAGGAAGGGGGACCTCCTGGGGTCCCCCTTGTGCCACCCATGCCTGGCCCTGGGTGGTAGTTCCCGGACGGCTGGGCAGGGTCAGGTATCACAGGGGGAGAAGGCAGGTGTGGGTGGGCCAAGCCCCTTTCCCCACAGGCCAGTGCAGTCCGGGAGTTCCCAGGAGAACCCCACGTTCCACTGGAAACTGGGGTGCGCAGGTGCTCCCGTGGATCCCCCAGCCCTCCCGCTGCTGTCCTGCCCCCTCCGCACGACTCTGGCTCGGGCGCCCAGAGCATTCCCTGCAGGAGGACTGACCAGCAAATCAGGGTTGGGGTGCCTGTCGCAGGAAACCCCATCCCACTCCTGCGCTGACCTGGCCCGTATGCGACACTTACCCTAATTACCACCCGCAACGAGGCAGCTATAATGCCACTAATATGAATAATCAAAATGGAATCAATGACAACAGCATGTGGGCCATGCTTTGGAGAGTATCTTCTGATGAACAATTTACCCAAGAGGCGGCCAACCACTGGGAAGAGAGTCACTGGGCTCTGGGAGAGGGGGCTGGGGAGGGGGGGTTGTGGTTGCTCCTGCCCAGCCATGTGGTGGTTGGGGGGGAGCTTTGGCGAGGCAGGGTAGGCCTGAGCCCAGGTGAACTTCCCTGTCACCCCCTGAATGGGCAGAACCGTGTCCCCTCCAGTTTTTAGGTTGAAGCCCTACCCCCACGAGACTGTCTAGAGACAGGGCTTTTCAGGACGCGCCAGGTTAAAGGATGTCATAGGTTGGGGCCCTGATCCAACAGGACTCGTGTGCTTGTGAGAAGAGGAAGGGGCACGGGGAGTGTGTGTGCACACGGAGATTTGTTCCATGGTTGAAATTCCCCGGTCTGGGCTCTCCTGGCATGGCGGCCCAGACAGACTCTGCTTCCCCCCTCCACAGGCTTACTGGCTGGCGCCCTAGGGGCCCCCAGGACAGAGCCACCCGTCCCACACTTGGTGTGCGTGCATTTAGAGGCCCTGAAATCAGGAATGTTCCAGAACCCGGCACTGTAGTGGATTCTTTATGTGTTGACTACATCACAAATGTTATCTATCCCCTCTGGAGCCTTGATGGTGGGCAGGGCATTGGGCAGTGGTTCTCAGACTGGGGTCCCAGAAGCAATTATAACGCCTGGGATCCTGCTAGAAACACACATCCCCACGCCTTACCCAGACCCACCGAGTAAGAAATTCTGTCCATAGGCCTCAGATCTGGGTCCTAAAAAGCCCTCCAGGAGATTTGATGCTGGCTCAAGTGTGAGACCCCCCGCGTCCAGACATTATGTCTCTAAACTCCCCACAATCCTTTGAGGAAGCAGTATCGTCTCATTTCATTCATGTGAGGACCAAGGCAGGAAAGTTAGTGACTTGCCCACAGTCACACAGCAGGTGAGTGGGGGTGGGAGGGGTTGCAGGGTCCCGCTGTCCGCCAGGGCCTCCCCAGCCAACACCCCTCCAGCGATGGAGGAAGGGCTGGAAGGCTCATTCGTGGGCGCAGGAAGGCGAGATCTCCCATCAGGAGAGCGAGAGTTCCCTGCTCTCACAGCAGGACTCACTTCACTGCCAAGGGACAGGCTGTCTGATTTCCCGGGTGGTGACCGTGCAGGGGACCCCGGAACCTGGGGCTGGGCTGGGGGCTGTCCCCCAGCCCCCAGCCCATCC